ACACATGCCTGCCCAACCCCAATGACCTTTCACTAACGTCCAACACCTCCACCGTCCTCCTTCCCAACCATTTTACCTAATGCCCATCCCCCTCTAACCTCCCTTGTCCTGCCACAGGATGTTTAAAATCCCCAGCCTGTAAGAGAGGCGTGCTCTCGCCCCTCTGAGAGTGTTACTCTGAAGGCGAGGGTCCCTCTCAGGTCTCCCCTCCCTAATAAATACCTGCTGCTTGTGAAGGTCGCAGAGTCTTTCTCAGTGTGTCTCTGTGTCAGTCCTACTCAGGTGTTTTCTGGTTGGCCATTATCTCACATAACACCTGAGGGGAGGCAGGAGTACCAGACACATTACAGCTTTTTTTCTTCTTCTTCTTTGCAGGACTGAGATTTGAACTCAGGATCCTATACTTGCTATGCAAGCACGCAATCACTTGAGGTATGCCTCCGGTCCACACTACAGCTTCTGCATGCAACAAAAGTACCTAACCACTGGTCATGCTGCACTTTGAGTCCTTTGGCACGTTGAGAAAGAGTGGCTAAATCTTTGGGGATATAGGGAAGGGTGTGCTGTGCACCAAGGTAAGGCTCAATCCCAGTGAGTCCTGGAGTACTCTCTCTCTACCTTCTCTGAAGTTTTCTGACATGCCCCTCTGCCCACCCCACCCCCCCGCCAGGGGCTTTCTAACACTAAAATAGATGCTGTTCATCTCTCTATTTGCATAAAGATACAGACCCAAAACTGTACACAAAAGGCTACGACAGTAAGCAGCAGAATCAGAAGAGAGGAAACTCAGCCACACCTGGGTTCAACTGTCACTCTCCCAATGGGAGGTATTATCACTTCTTTGCTGTTAAAATCTGATTCTTGGTGGGCATGGAAACTGAGCTTCTTAAGGTTGCTTGCCTTGCCTCCAGATTTTAAAGTTAACTCTTTCTGGGAGTGGCTCAAAAGGAAGCAAGTTATTTTATTACTATTGCTTAAAACACCCTTAGCATCTGGTTTAATTATTCTATAAAAAATATTACAGCTGGATCCAGAGACTTCAGACTCCATGGCAAAATGTTATTTGGTATCAAATCCCATTTATGGGCTTTTTTTTTTCCCCTCAATATTGGGGAATCACACTGAGGGCCTTGCATATGCTAGGCAACAGCTCTACCACAGAGCCACATTTCCCAATGGATAGGCTTTTTTTTTTGTTTGGTGGTACTGGGGTTTGAACTCAGGACCTCACCCTTGCTAGTCCTGCACTTTATCACTTGAGTCACACTACCAGCCCCAGAATGTGTTTTTTTTTTTAATTTATAGAGTCCTATATGATTGCAAAGTTCTGTTGCAATTTAATTACAGAAATTTAACTGATGCACCCAGAGAACAAAGTAACATTGACAATTTTTTGCCTTTCTGCCTCGCATATGCATATGCACACATGCCCACACACGCACACGCACACACACACACACACACACACACACACACACACACACACAGAGAATATTGTTTTTAACTTTTAAAAGCTCACTCAAAGACAGTAGTCATTAATATCGGGTGTTTTTTAAAGTGCACTGTAATTTTATTCATGGAAGATAACAAATCTGACTCCCATCATATTTTTAGGGATGTGTTGGCACATGATGTTCGCTATCATTTCAGACTTACATGGTTGTCTGCAAGTAGTCTTGGGACCTAAGCATATCTCAAAGTGAAAACCTAAGAAACAAAGTTGTGGTTTTTGGTTTTGGGTTTTCTTTCCTCCTAACCTATTATCCTACTGCCTCTTCCCTTCTTCCTCAAGGCAAGCCATAGAAACTAGAATTTCTCTTCCCCAAGGCAGGTAATAGAAACCAGTGCCACTTCCCCCCCCCCCCAAAATCTATAAAATGTAAAACTATTACTCTAATATTCCCCAATCATTTATGTCTTAGAGCTGCCCTAAAGAAATTCCTGACCTATTTTGCCTAATAGTGGATCATAGGATCCCCTTTTCAGATGGACTCCTGCACCACAGCCAGGAGGAAGGAAAGCCACACAGAAAATCCAAGAAGTATCCAGGCAGGCCTTGCTGGATTTTCCCGCACAGTCTATCAGTATTTAAATATGTACATTGTGTGCAATCACTTCTAGGCCTAAGCCTAGAAACATACAGTTTATCTTGGATTTGGGATCTTCATACTAAAAGCTCCTATGTCATGTAAAACTATAATCAAATAAATTTTTCATGCTTTTGTTAACTTTTCTTTTCTAATTGGGTTGTCAGTCATTAACATGAGCCTTTATGATAGATAAAAAGACATCACCCCTTTCCTCCTCTACAGTACCTATAATTTTTTTAAAAAATAAAAAAGGATATAACAATCTCTGAATGACCAGTAGATTTATCTTATGGTAATAATAGCTAAAACTCAAAACACTGAAATTTCTTTTCATTATTTCTCCACATCTTTCCTACCCAATCTACCCATAGTAAATATTGATACTTCACAACTAGACATTTTTACTAGAAAGGTGTAAATATTTTTTGGTTTTGTTTTGTAGTTTCCCCTAAACTTTGAAATGGCATACTTTAGCAGGTAAAAATCCAGCCATAGAGGGAAAAGCCATAAAAGGAATAGAAGAATGTATTACTCTTGGGATTTTTACATAGAAAAACAAAATAATGCCACCAAATCTGATTAATGTCTGCCAACAATCTAACCCAGTCAATTAAAGAATGTACCCCTAGAGTAGCAGGAAACAACACAAAAAATAACACTGCACAATATAGCCAATTAAAGAAAAGAATAGGTGCATTAGGTTTTTTTCTGTAAATAATGGTGCCCAATTATTCAATTTCACAAAAGACCATTATCAGAGATAACTGGATTTTTTAAATAGAGAACTTGAGACGGGATGGGAAGCATTTAGAAAGATCTTACAGATAGAGAATTGCAGGTGAACATTAGTAGAGGGGAAAAAAATTAATGAGTTGTTATTAGTGTTAAAAGAAGGTACTATTAATAGATGCCACAGGATTTTCCTTTGAACATGGGGCAATGGAGAATCAAGTACATTTTCTTTCTGATTTTGCAGAATGACCAGAATTTAGGCATTGGAGGTAAACTAGTTAGGAAACTGATTAGGAGAAATGAAGTCATCCCAGTTTGAAGATAAAAGTGGGAAGGCAGAAAATATCAGAGTCACTGAGAATTCTTTTTTTTAAAAAATAGGCGGTTTTTTTAATGAATGACAGGGAAATCAAGGCTTGCATATAGTTATGTAAACTCAGTGTTCCTCCTCCAGTCAGAAGAAACCAAACAATAACTAACTATAAGAGAGAAACATAGTGACTTCAGACTGGTCCTAAAAATTACTTTTGTCTCAGGCAAATGATGCATCAGTGTCCTCCACCAGTAAGGTAATATGAAAATGCCCTTCACACCTGCCCTTCACATCTAAGACCATGGGAGTTTTTGTCCTTGTTTCTTTTGTTAACCATTTTTAATTGAAAAATTTAGGATGCAAAATATAATTTTTTAAAAAAATTAGCTATAAATGGGATGTAAACAATGAAATAAGGTGAGGAGGCATTTCAATCATGGGAAATCCGTGGGATTTTATCCCACTGGAGGCCAGGTCAGTATTTTATGCCTTGCTTTATTCTGTGCACACTAATACATAACTTCTCAAAACAATGTTTTTTAAATACTTAAATTATACTGAATAAGAAAGGCAATGACATTAAAGTAGTTACGTTTTCAATGTATGATAATGTGTGCTTCTTTAGTTAACCTATCAAATAATGACGTTCAACAGCGAGCTTAATAACAAATGTCAGTTGAAGGATTACAGGTAAACTTCATTTGAAGAAATCTGCAATAACATTTTATTTTAATCTGCAATAATAATGAAGCTTTATGTAAATGGTGTGCTTACCATTGATGACAATGTTGTGGGCACTTCAAAATCCTGTGACTGCTTACCTATCTACACTCATAACTTAAGAAAGTACTAAATTGCATTTAAGGTTTGTAGGAATAAAGATGTAATTTTTGCCCACCAAGCTACTCCATAAACATTCGTCACATTTGCATGTTGTCAGAATGTTGATAAAACTGTGGTTTCCAATTTAAAAACAAAAATCAAGTATCTAGAGAGATGAAATGGAATTGCTAGATCATCCAAACTCATATTCTTACAGTCCGCTTGCAAACCAGGCAGCCTTCTAAAAGTTTGCTTCCCTCTCTATTCACTGCATACTCACCAGTTAAAGGGAAAAAACATACTTTCACTCGCTAGAGCTTCTAAATAATGTCAGGAAAGATTCTAGGAAAGAGATCTATTATAAACTGCCAACGATGGTCTTTACTTTTTTTTACTATCCCTTAGCATCAAGGTGGTAGAATGACAATCCTAGGGAATGTCCACAATGGAATTTCACTGAACTCAGGTGGGGGGCGGAGATCCAGGCTCTTCCCAGCTTCCCAGCACACAGAAACTTTAATATCACAATCTGTGATTGGTTCACACTTTCACGAAAAGCCCGTCCAAGTCCAATGATAGTCTAATTGGGCAACTCTTCACCTATTTGACAGAATACTCGGCAGACCAATGGGAAAACAAACTTCACCACGCAGCCGGAAGACTACAACCCCTTCCTCCTATTGGCTTGCCAAAAGTTGACACACTTTTTAACATGGTTAGGCGGGAGAAACAAGAAAAACGCGCCAAGGAGTACAACTTACACTGGTCTTAGGGTTCCAGTAGTTTTAAGTGCATCACCTCTTCAAAAATAGTTAAGTACTCCTAGTGCTTGGGGGAGGGGGGAAAGTAAGTTAAGTGCGGTGCACATGGGAGTTAAAGGATCCAGATTCTGGAGCTAAGGGTTAAGTCAGACCCATCCTAAACCTTTGGATCACCCAGCTGAAGCAGCCCTTAGCCACAAGTACGGTGTACTTGAGAGACCCATCTCAAACCAGAGCACGCTGCGCACAACACAGGTCCTTCCCACAAAAGCATTGGCCAGAGACAGGATGGCGGGAGTTTAATTAGCTTTAAAACGTTACCAAGAAATCTCAGCTCCTTCGAATGAAAGCTGTGGGTGGCTCTGAAAAGAGCCGTTGAGATTTTTCAAAGCAGGACATCCGGTCACCCTACTTCTTCCTCGGGGCAGTCTTCTTCGCCTTCGCGACCTTCGGCTTGGCAGTCTTAGGCTTGGCTGCCTTAGGTTTAGGAGCTTTTGCCTTGGCCGGACTCTTGGCAGCCTTCTTGGGCTTGGCTGCTGTCACCTTCTTTGGACTCTTGGCCACTTTCTTGGTTGCGGCAGTCACAGCTGGTTTCTTCGCCTTCTTCGGAGTCTTCTTAGCGCTTTTCTTCGGTGTGGCAGCGCCAGTCGCCTTCTTAGGCTTCTTGGCCGCGCCTGCTGGCTTCTTGGGCTTGGCTGGACCCGCCTTCTTGGCTTTGGGTTTGGCTTCCCCAGAGGCAGCCTTCTTGTTGAGTTTGAAGGAGCCGGAGGCGCCAGTGCCCTTGGTCTGCACCAGGGTGCCTTTGCTCACCAGGCTTTTGAGACCAAGTTTGATCCGGCTGTTGTTTTTCTCCACGTCATAGCCCGCTGCCGCCAGCGCCTTCTTGAGAGCAGCCAGGGACACCCCGCTGCGCTCCTTGGAAGCAGCCACAGCCTTGGTGATGAGCTCGGACACAGGAGGTCCAGACGCCTTGCGCTTCCCAGCAGCAGTGCCAGCTTTCTTCGCCTTCTTCTTTACAGGTGCTTTCTCTGCAGGTGCGGGGGCAGCAGGAGCGACTGGCGCGGTCTCCGACATGCTCTTGTACTACCAGAAAATCCAAAAGTAAGCTCAAACTGTCAGAACGGCTCGTCCCCAGCACCGAAGGCTCTGGGTTTATATAGAGAGACGCTGAGTGATGATTGGTTCCCTGCTCCATGCGCCACGCTGCTGGGAAAGCACTCCTCGGCTCTGCCTGGTGACTGTGTTTGTTGCCCCTTAAAAAAGAATAAAAATATAAGAAATCTGGGCACAAAATAATTAGGGACTTGGAGGAAATGGATCCGAGAGGCTTCAGGCTTCAATCCTGCCTTATTTTCTACACCTAGCTTCAAAACCGGCACCCTGAAACTTTCCTGATTCCCCCAACTCTCTTTCAAACTTCGGGCAAATTGTGACAACTTTCAGGTTTTCCTTTAAAATACTATTTTTCTCGGCTTCATTTGCAAATCTTTTTATCATGGCGTTGTTCTACACATTCTTATCTTCTTAAAATTGTACAACTGAACTCAGTTTTACTCAAATGTATAGGGAAATTTGGTTTTTTCTCGGGAGCAATAGCACAGGCTCTCCCCGGAGCTGTTTGCGCGAAGCTGTAAGAATTGGCATTGCAATAGAAAGTTCTACACAAAGGAATGATGATTATTTTTTTAAAAGATCGATTTTTTAGAAAGTACTTGAGTTGCCAGTGTGGAAGTTGTGTTTGATCTCCGTGTTTTTAGTAATTTAAATATTTTCAGGACGATGGGGCTGAGGCGCCTCCATTCCTCTTCTAGATACAGTTCTAAACAGATTTTTCAGAATTCCATTGGGCACTGGTGACTCGATTGTGAATTGGTAACACCACTTACAAAAAAAAAAGAGAAAGAAAAAGAAAACTGAGTCAATGAGGAATAGAACAGCAAGTCTGTATAATTTTTCCAGTGGTGAGCTGAAGCACAGAGGCATCGCACATGTTCATATCTCATTCTTTCATATTATGATTTAATGACAGACACAGTGACATAAGGTTTTTCCCTTTAGCTATCTCTTATATTTCAAGATGAAATTTTATACTTCAGAGTTGCAAATATGAACACAGGTCACTTGAAAGAAAAAAGCTCACTTTTTGAATTTCCATGATTCCATCCTTTTTACTTATATGAATAAGGTTATGTCAACCTAAATTAATTGGCTGAATGTGTCCATCAAAGGTCTTGAACAGACATTTGAGAGCAAACATGAGTGACTCTACTAACAATACAAAGAGCTGATAAAAATAGGTTATTATTGGATAATAAAGCACAAAAGTAATACTATCCATCAAATAATCAACTACTGGAATGGAGCCCTATGTTTGTTAAAATAAGTAAGAAATGTATTTTTGCTGTTATGTTTTTAACATAAAAAGCTAGTCAATCTTGCTTAAGTCAGTGATGATTTCAAGATTTTTCTCATTTATTCTAAAACAGGCTAAACAATTTTTAAATTTTAATTTTTCTACAGTTAATTAATTTCATAAAAATAACTTGACTTCTTTTTAAATGATCATTTACTGGCTGACCAGATTGGAATGTATATAAAGTAAAAATACAAATAATGTGTATAAATAGTGGCAGCTAAAAGAATGGCATCTACACTTAAAACACAACTCAAATACAGATTTTAAAAAGTGTATAAATGTGGTCACTATTGTAATCATAATAAAAACTGTGGAATAATTGCTGGAATTGTTATATCTATGTATATATACATTCCCTTATTAGATGTCACCATATCATTTCTATGCAACTGTTACTAGGTCCCATAGATGTGTTTCCTAATAAATGAGAAGACACTGGGACTAAGAGCCATTTCCTGCCATTTCCTAATTTTATGGTAGGGCATTAACAGACCCAATTTCATCAAAAAAACTCTTTGGAGTTTATAAAAAGAATATGTAGCACTGCATACAGTTACTTTGTTATTGCTTGGGACCTAAGCTTATTCTCTCTGTAACTGTACCATAGAGAAAGTTCCTAAGACCTGGCTCACTCATGGAACTGTAAAATTGAAGTCAGGAAGTTACGCTTTTTACTTTGGCAGGTAACTTTCAAAAATAAATAAATAACACAACTTTTGCTTGTGACTACAAAATCTACACTTATCCTAAAGCAATATATTGTCCTCCACACTACAGCTTGAAGTATTTAATTAACAGATGTAAAAACAATAGTTTTTAAAAATACCTAGATACATGATAGCCACTATACTGTCCAATAGATACCTAATACCCACACAAGGCTACTGAGCACTCAAATGTGGGTAAAGAGAAAAAAATTCATTTTTAATTCTAATTAGATTAAGTAGCACATGTGGCTAGTGGCTAATATAGGTTGGAAAACACAGCTTAAAAACAATTCTCAATGAACAAACCGCCCACCTAGAGATCTTGTTAACAATGGATATAAATTCAATAGATTTGGGGTTGAGATTAAAACTATGTCTAAAAAGTTTTAGTCTGGTGCCAATGCAGTTACTGGGATACAGTTGCTTTACCCATTGATACTAGGTACCAATTAGAGTACTGGGTGGATACCTGACCCCTCACGCTGTGCCTAATTTTTGATTCCCTTTACTAGACTTTGCGTTTTTTAAAGGAAGGAATGCGATTGTCTTTGTAAACTTAATATTTGCACACCATTTTCGTTACGTAGTAGCCTTGCGTTGTCGAAGGAGTTAGGGAATGATGCTTGTGTGGTGCTTTTATGGAAACAGAACAGAAAGCTCAGAGAAAAAAACCTGTAAGCTTGGAGGTAATTAGGCGTAAACTAAACATCAAGGCGATTATTAATCCAGGAAATGAATCTTTTCCTCTGCCAGCACCAGCAGAGATTTTGTTTTAAAAGCCTATATAGAAGGCATTGAATGCGAATGTCCAAAACATGAGTAAATGTTGGAAAATATTAAGCTATGATCTTTAAGTTGCAGTTAACCTTTTATAATTGAGAAACAAAGACTGTAAATTCAATTAAATCGGCCTGCCCTTCCTAGACTCTCTAGCTGTACTGAAAACGCTGTCAAACACAAAGATTCATAGCAAGTCAAATTTAGTGACTTTCATTGCAAAATGAAAAATATTCCATTTTTAAAAAAGAAACTTCCATTTTCAGGAAGTCAATGCGAGTCAACACCCTGTATAGCCATCCTTATCTCAACTAGCAAAAACCCTTGGTTCTTCCTATTATTGCTTATACTCTCTCTTCAACAAAATTAGACATAAGGGCAAAATAGTTTCTGCTGGGTATCGAGGGGGTGGGGGGGAGAGGGAGGGGGTGGAGTGGGTGGTAAGGGAGGGGGTGGGGGAAGGGGGGAGAAATGAACCAAACATTGTATGCACATATGAATAAAAAAAACCTCCCATTTAAAAAATAACTTTGTTCTGATATTTCAGACTTTGTAGACAAGTGTAGCACTACGACTTTTTTTCTTTTTTTACAAATTACTATAAGACTGCTTAGGGCACTTGTACAGTATCAGTTGTTAGAGAAAGCCCTAGGCACAGTCCAGAACACAGAAAACAGCTATTTAGGACCTAGACAAAGAACGAGGAAGATGCAGACTCAGTTGCATTCTCCCTCCCCTCACAGGCCCTTTGCGCTAGGCAATAGTAGGAGGGACGCAAGAATGAGAGGCGGGTAGAGGTCTCCTTCCCGCCCGCGCCATTTCAGTTTCCTAAAAGGTCCGCACAACTGACATAAAAGGGACTGCAGGTAGTTCTCACACTTCCGTAGTGTGATAGCAGCAGCTGTTCGCTATGTCTGGAAGAGGCAAAGGAGGAAAAGGCCTGGGAAAGGGAGGCGCCAAGCGCCACCGCAAGGTCCTGCGCGACAACATCCAGGGCATCACCAAGCCCGCCATCCGGCGCCTGGCCCGCCGCGGCGGAGTCAAGCGCATCTCCGGCCTCATCTACGAGGAGACCCGCGGGGTGCTCAAGGTTTTTCTGGAGAACGTGATCCGGGACGCCGTCACCTACACGGAGCACGCCAAGCGCAAGACGGTGACAGCCATGGACGTGGTCTACGCGCTCAAGCGCCAGGGCCGCACCCTCTACGGCTTCGGAGGCTAAATTGCATAATCTTGATACAGTAAATAAAGGCCCTTCTTAGGGCCGCCCACCCTTTCATAAGAGCTGCTGTTACATTTGAATGCAAGCCTGGTGATGTTTTGGGGCTGCTTAATTATCCTTTCTGGCTCAGCTTCATCTATCAGTGAAAGATGGCGGAAGTACACGGCTCAGGTCCGAATCCGAGGAAGTGAGAGATCACCATACGAGGCATTAGGTGTCTCCTCATTTGGTCAGAAACTAGCCTAATGCCAAGGATGAGTGAGACTTACTCTATTCCTCCTTACTTGATTGCCCTGTAAAACGCTGAGCGTTTGCTTCAGGCGGTACTGCCCCAATTTATAGATTTAACAGATCACTTATACGACTTTATGCTTAAATCTCCCACATTTTACCTTCTATCTCCTTCAGTAGCACAAGCCAACTCCTGGTGTGAGCTCCTCAAAGAACAAATAGGTGGCCCCGAAAAGGACCTTTAGCTGTTATACATGGCCCGAATGTAGAGTTACCCTCCGAAACCATACAGGGTGCGACCCTGCCGTTTGAGCGCGTAGACCACGTCCATGGCGGTCACTGTCTTGCGCTTAGCGTGCTCTGTGTAAGTCACAGCATCCCGAATCACATTTTCCAGAAACACCTTCAGAACTCCACGGGTCTCCTCATAGATGAGACCAGAAATGCGCTTCACCCCGCCACGTCGCGCCAGTCTACGGATGGCAGGCTTAGTGATGCCCTGGATATTGTCACGCAGGACTTTGCGGTGGCGTTTGGCGCCTCCTTTGCCAAGACCTTTTCCACCCTTGCCACGTCCTGACATTTTGGCAAAATTAAAAGGGCTACAATAAAGGTATGCGGGTTGCAGCGTCTTATATAGCACTTTGGGCGGACCTTATTGAAAACTAAGCAAAGGAAAGGCGGGAAAGCGCAAGGATCCCCGCCCATTTTCAGTCAAAAAAAATGAAATGGCGTAGGGTGTTACTGATTTTAAATTTCTTAACGTGTCAAACGAAGTGTACACAAAGTACCTCGCCTATGTATTTAAAGTTTCATTAATCGTTTTACATAATTTTGAATGATTTAGTACTACAATGAAACAAGGTCATAAACTCAGACAAAAGCATAGGCAACCCAGCTAATTGGAAGAGGGTGTGTTCAGATTCGGAGAGCGGCTGCTCTTTTAAGATTGGACATTCATGGCTTTACCACGACTATACCACAATTAGATGTAAAATAACCAACACATACAACACCTGGGAGTGCTACACGGAGAACTGATCTTTTAATTTCGTGATTTTAGAACTAGGCTCCGTTAAGGAACGAGACTTAAAAACGCCTGAGTAGCATTTCCTGAAGTGCAAGAGTGCGCTCACGCGTAGCCATAGCGACAAGAAGCTACAGCCAATAGGCTCACCACCAATGCCCAGACTACACAAAAAGGGGTGGTTATTCAAAAAAAAAAAAAAACACGGAAAGAGAACAGACTATAGCTGGTCGCCGGTGCTTACTTCTAACTACGCAGGAGTTCTCGCGTTAGTATTTATAAAGGCAAAATCCTCCTGATTGGTCCGATTCTTCAAATTCCGCGCCTCGTAGTAGGTAACTGGTTACGTCTTGTGATTGGCACCAGGTCCCAAATTTAAAACATCGGCCTATTTGAAATGTGTTTGGTTATTGCTTCAATAATTATTCTCCTTTCTTATTTACTGTCCTTTTAATTTTTTCACGCTTGCTTGGGTATAAGTAGGAAAGGATGAAAATAAACATTTTGTGGTTGCAGAACTGTTTCAGAAAGTCCGCGTTTGAACGTCATTGATCCATTGTGTTTTGTATCTTTTATTAAAACATCTGATTTTCAAGAAATGCAAGAATCTTACTTGATTCTTTTTAACTTTGTAAATGAAAGCTAGAGGCTTTCCGTAATATAGAAATGATTTTGTGTAGGTTCCACGTAAGCTGTAAAAGAAAGATTTAAATTCAGCTTATTTACATATATGATTTCTATTGGTTGACTTAGCCCAATCAGGGATGGAGCAAGATTAAGCCATATTTGCATAAGAAATCTACAAAAAGAGGCCTGTGTAAACCTTAGCCACTGACCAGTTACTTTTCTCTGGTAGTAATTATGCCTGAGCCGGCGAAGTCCGCTCCAGCGCCCAAGAAGGGCTCCAAGAAGGCGGTGACCAAGGCGCAGAAGAAGGACGGCAAGAAGCGCAAGCGCAGCCGCAAGGAGAGCTACTCCGTGTACGTGTACAAGGTGCTGAAGCAGGTCCACCCGGACACGGGCATTTCGTCCAAGGCCATGGGCATCATGAACTCGTTCGTCAACGACATCTTCGAGCGCATCGCGGGGGAGGCGTCTCGCCTGGCGCATTACAACAAGCGCTCGACCATCACGTCCCGGGAGATCCAGACGGCCGTGCGCCTGCTGCTGCCCGGGGAGCTGGCCAAGCACGCCGTGTCCGAGGGGACCAAGGCCGTCACCAAGTACACCAGCTCCAAGTAAATTGTACTTGTTAAATCCAAAGGCTCTTTTCAGAGCCATCCACAATCTCAAATGAGAGCTTTGATACAGGCGTATTAATCCCCCATTTTTACTGGGTTTTTTTTTTTTCAGGTTTTTGTTAACTGCTTTCTCAATTTAAAACCCTCAAATTAGCTTGTAACCCTTTTCGCAAAGGCTCAGTTTTAATCTAGTTTTACAAGAGTTATAATCTAAACTGTACTTTTAAGCTAATATTGCCAGTCAAAAGGATATCAGTTTGAGAACCTGGCCTTTAATGAGACTTAAAAATAAGAATCCTTAGTTTAAAATCCCTTAAGCAGTTCTAGAAGGAGTAATATTTATACTTCCATATGTCCATGTCTCATTGGTTACAAGAATTTTGTAGAAGTCCTAGTTTAGTACCTTGCTAAAAATGTAAAAGCTTTCTAAACGGTGGAAAATGATACTATGACCTTACCATTCTAACTCATCTTAAGAATTTTTTTAATGAAACACTGAACTAGTATCAGGTGTCCCTGGAAGTGGCAGACAATGTAAAAGTAGTAAAAACAGAAGTCTTTCTCATAAACCTATCTAGATCACGCCCACAATGAGAACTCTAATATCTTTAGGGAACACGTCTTTGCAAACGTCTCATTGTTTGAATTTTTTGTGCCACTTTTTTCTGCTTTTAAACCAGGTATGGTGTTACACATCGATAATCCCAGCACTCAGAGGCTGAAGATCACAAATTCAAAGCTAGCCTGAGTTACATAACGAGTCCAATTTTAGTGTATATTATATATATATATATACACGTATATATATACGTGTATATATATATATATAAAATTCTGTAGAGGACCAACAATACAACAAATGGAATGGATGACACTCCTATGTGTGAACAAGGTAATTCATACAAACTAAGAAATTTAAATTGGTAAGCAAGTTTGTAAGGTATAAACAAAATTCAAAAGCTATATTTAATAAGAATCAAATTAGTAGCTAGTGAAACATTAGGAAAAGTCAGTAGAGCTTTGTGTGCCACAGAGACAGGAAGAGATATAACCAAAAAAAATCACCAAATATTTATGAAACATTCAATGTTTATGAGGTTTTAAATTCACCATCTACTGTTGACATCCATTTTGGCTCCCATTTGTCCTCTGCAGACATATAAAAAGCTATGGTTGACTGGTCATGCCTGTAGTCCCTGCTACTGAGGAAGTTGAGGCAGGAGGAGCAGCAGGCCTGAGCATCACAACAAGATCCTGTTTCAAAAATAAAATAAAATAAAACTCTTTGCTGCTCAGTATGTCACTGGTAAGTAATACTGGTGACTGTATACGTGTCCCTTATCTCTTCAAAAAATCAGCATGTGTTGGTTCCAAATAACTTCCATTTGCAGAACCCTTTTGCTCATCATCAACCCCGGCTCACAAAATCACCTTCTCACCAGTAAAAAATATGCTGAGGAACATAGAAGCATGCACATACCACACGTATAACTAAGGATTCACATACTATGACTACCTCGTTAGCAACCTGTCTGAAATGCTTTACTAACCATATCTTTTTTAGCTTGTTTCCTGCTATATGTTTAAAAGTGATTCAATAAAGCTAAAGAAGGCGTGGATTCAGGAAACAAATCAGAATGTGAGACTTTCTGTCCATGATCTCAGGAATGGCCTTCCTGGTATAGGAAGTATATTTGCATTAAGGTAATGACATTCTAGCTCTGTCACACTTGATATGTCCCTTCACCTTGCAGTCTAAGATGCCAGCCCTGGCTCCAGCTCTCAGGTTCACATTTCATTCTGAAGGAGGAAGAAAAGGACAAGAAAAGGAACACTATCAGAAAATGCCACCTGAAAATATGCCACTTTTGACTTCAAACTGAGGGCACTGTAAGGAATGACAAACACAAGGAGAAGTTCTCCAAATTTACAGGAAGATAGATTTGTCACAAATTCTCTTCCTAGGGGAATCTTATTAACCAGAGTTTAAACTCACAGTACAGACAGTATCATAGGCTGTGTCTATCACCTATTCTTCTGTTCATCATCCTCAAAAATCATTTCCTATCCCTTAAATTGCCCACATACCTCCTCTCTTCTCTTCTATGAAGAGGGTATATATAAGCTTCTAGATCTTATTGGGCTTTTGAGAAATCACTTTTCTCAAAAGATGCCTCAAAGTATATAATGAATTTGTAGGCCTTTTATTCTGTTAATCTGCCTACTGTCAGGGTTATTTCATGGACTCATTTATTGAACCCTAAGAGAATGCAGGGAAAGTTGTCCCTTTTCTGCAAAACCTGAAGATGGTGTAATACCATTTTTGCTACTACACCATTGATCTATGGCCACACCCAGATTATTCTTAATGAATAAGAACAGATAACCAATTTTAGGAGACAATTATGTAACAATCCCTGCCACAGCTCATACCCAAAGACAGTATTACAGATTAGACAAGGAGAGTAACTCTTAGAGACTAATTGGTAAGTCCTTGTACCTCCAGTAGGATACAAAAGCTTCTCAGTACAAAATAAATGAATTATAAACATTAGCAAGAATTGCTTCAGTGTGATGACAATAATACAACTCTAATTAGAATCAAATTGTGATTTTAAAGTAAGCAGTGCTGGGAATCCAAAAGCATTTACAATCAACATATAACGGGAAATGAAGAAAACCTTAAAAAACAGAAGCAGGGCTAAATGGTGAGATTCAATGCCTACTGTGAATAAGTTTAAAGTCCAATGGCACCATACTCTTTTAAATATCCATTCAAGATTCAATAATCTGGTGTACAAATTTCAATTCTACCTGTTTCAGTCCTATCTACTATCTTGCTAAATTTTCTCAACTCATTCAGAAGATACATTTCAATGTTCTTTGTGAACTGACTACTTCCATAAGATTCAACCTTGCCTTTTGCTCTGAACAGCCCAAATCTCTAATTTTAAGATATCCTGCCATGTTCCTCAAAGCTTTCCACATCTAAAATGCCATACATTAAGTGTGCTTATCATTTAATCAAATTACAAAGATGAACCAGTATATGGTCCCTATTATTTAGGACACGCAACATTGTTCCATTCGGGAAGTAATAATGCATACAACTCTACAACAGCAACGGAATGTGCTTAAAATTGGAAAGTTTGGAAATGCACTACTCAGGCTGAAATGTGTATCATTCATTAATAGCTAGGTGACCTTAGCCATTCAGCCCTAAGGTAAGATAATACAGTAACTTTCACAATGATGAAATGACTTGCTCAAGCTTATTCAGAGCTGGGCCTAGCAGAATTCTTCTATTTCACTGCTCTTTCTACAACTATCAAGA